TTCGGAGTCCAGCAGGTCGAGGCTGCGGTGGCCGGGAGCGGCCACTGCACTCCAGTCTGGGCGACAGAGTGAGACTCCAACTCAAAAAAATAAAAAATAAAAATAAAAACTAAACTATGCATATGGTATATTGGACTGGTATGTTAGACTTTATACCCTAACATGGCCTAAGCATGACCTTAATAACAACACCGAGAAACAAAACTGAGAGAGAACAAACAAACCAAAAAATAAAATGTCAAATAAAGTCTTAACAACAATGACCTTAAGTGCAAGTAGCAAAAATTAATCAATTAGAGACGAAGATTGACAAAGTGTATATGATCTTTAGAAGAAATTCAATTCCTGTATAATTAAATAAAGATTTAAAGTATAAAGACTGAGAAAAATGCAAGTACTAACTAAGAAAGCACAAGTAGTTATATTAACATTAAATAGATTTCAGAGAAAAGAAAATCGAGACATAGAGAAAAATTAAATAATGATAAAAGGAGGTTGGGCGCAGTTTTTCATGCCTATAATTCCAGCACTTTGGGAGGCTGAGGCAGGAGAACTGCTTGAGCCTAGAGGATTGAGACCAGCCTGGGCAACATAGTGAGAACTCATCTGTACAAAAAATAAAACTGTAACCAGGTGTGGTGGCATGTTCCTATAATCCCAACTCCTCAGGAGACTGAGATGGAAGGGTTGCCTGAACCCAAGAGATCATGGCCATGAAGAGTCATGAGCATGCCACTGCACTCTAGATTGAGCAACAGAGTGAGATTCCGACTCAAAGAGAAGAAAATTAAATTTCTATGGGAATGCTGACATGTTAGAAACTAATGGAGTGAGAAATACTTACTAAATTTCACGGTTTTCTGCCAGAATACTGAAATGGATAACCTTGAAGTCCAGTTTCTTCATAAGTATCTTTATCCAGTGATAAAATTAATTTCCCTATGAATCAAATAATAATTTTCATAAAATGAATGTTAACATGACAAATTCTCTTACTAAAGAAAGTAAGGCAAACTTGAGCAGTTGGATATCAGTAAAGTAACTTCTGCACAAGCATCTTACTGCAGCATTTTTTATGATGCTGAAACTAAAAATAATCTAAATTTCTATCAAAGAATGAACAATTAAAACAAGTGATGTACACCCATCGTTTAGAGTACACTTGAGAAATTAAAAATAGTAAGTTAGACTCATGTGCACTGATATGGAAACATGTCAGTAATATGTAGCTTTAGATATGCAAAATAAAAAATGTGTTATGATATGATCTGAGTTAAAAAAAAAAACTTTATGTGTATGTATCAACGTATAGAAAATATCCAGAAGAATAAATAAAAACTGTCAGCAACAATTCCTTCTAAGAAGGGAATGAGTTTGGAGGGAAAGGATAAAAGAAAAGACTTTTACTTTATAAAGTTCTACATAATTTGGCTTTTTTTTTTACAGCATGCATTTCTTTTATAATTAAAAAAAGAAAATAATAATATTGTTACCATATGGTAGGTAGGCCAAAGTTTTATTTTCATTAATATCTGCACTGTATGTTAGTATACAACACAGACCTCTAAGAAAAGGCCCAGAGAAATAATTAGGTCCCCAAAAACTCACAGCTGTAAAAAGTGAATGGATTATCTGATAACAAATGTTCAGGTGAGGACTGGTGGAGACCTACCACTGCTCCAGCCCACTCAGAAAACCTAACCCCAGCGAAGGGTAAGGCAGAGGACAGGCAAGGCCAAGTGCCAGCTAGTTCCCTCTCCCACCTATTTGTACAATGGACCCAGACTGGGATGTGTACCCTTAGAAATGTGGGCAGAGAGAAACAAAGGCGATTATGAGCTAAGCATACACATCTTAGAAAAAGACTCCCAGGTTAAGATTCAGAATGCATCAAAAAGTTTGTGTAAAATTCATACAGCTGCTCAATTTGTCCAAGTGCCACTTTCTTCACCTGCAAGATGGGAACCACAGGTCTATTTCATCAAGTTACTGGGAGAGTGAAATTCACCAGGATATTTAAAAGTACCTGTTATTGAAACAAAGATCTGAGTACCATATGTTCTCACTCATGAGCGATCCCTGAACATTTACCATAATACTATCAGAAAGGGATTGGCAGTAGTGGGATACTGCCAGGGGAGTGGCAGGGGCGGGGGGCGGAGACACGACATCCATAGGATACCTGATCTCAAACCAGGCAACGTGGGGACCAAAAGGAGGCCCAAACTTTACCTGTACGATGACCATTTATATCCCGAGCTGTACCCCACATCTTTAAAATAAAATATAAATAAATAATGTGAAAAATAAATTAAAGTTCCTGTTATTGCAAGCATCCATATTATTAACAAAATAGTGCCAGACTTCAAGGTCTACAAAATACATAATGTTGATGAGACCAAAGACCAAAGATGCCCAGCTTCAAAAACAACTCAGCGGCATCAGAATGAGACCTACAAGCAACTAGACTTCTTCACAGTTCCACTAGAGAGTCTGAACATTGGGCCACATGATAATACATGAGTATCATGCAGTGACTTAGGTCGTGAAGGTGGAATCCCTAAAGACTGTCTGAAATAGAGTTATTCAACTGGCTCCCTAGAAGCTGGAACAAACCTGGCAACCCAGAAGGTACTGCAGACAATGGGGTGAGCAGAGGAGGGTCAGAGTCACAAAATCTAAGCCAAAGACACCAAACCACAAGGAGTACTGGCTCTGCAAACAGCAGCTGTGGTGGCCACAGGACTGACCTTCTGAAATAGCCACCGTGAGGACTAAGAGCATGGTGTCTTTGCAGTCACACACCCAACAGCAGTGCATGTGAACAGAGATCAGAAGACTCTCCCCTCTACCAATCTCCGTTTTGACATGTACCTTCATGTTACAACATCCTCACACAAGACTTGTAGGCAAGTATAATCAGAAGCCCCCACCTAAAGAGAAGACAGGAAGGAGCAGGATGAGAATATCGAGGGATGATGGAAGGATGCATGCCCTTGACCACACAAATTGTCCCCCAGGCCCTATCGAAAACAAGAGATGAGCCCTAGTGTTGTGTTCTCATGGGAATTTCAAATTTCAGAGCTATTTTGATTGCTTTAGATTTTTAAAATAATCGAGTTTAGAAACTTCAATTGAGTTAGGCTAAACGTAGAACCCACTTGAATTTTAAAATGCACATTTTTTACTTCTCCACCTTCAAGGCCCTTGAACCTAGTAACTGCGGTTGATCCTGAAGAATGCACAACCATCTGAACTGAGCCCCCTGAGAAGCAGGAAACGCAAAGACAAACTGCACGTCCCTGGAGAAGCCTCCACAGGACTTAGATAAGAAATGGGCTTTGTTGAGGTGCCCTAAAACCCCAAGAATGTATCTGTTCCATTAGTCCTTAAATAACAACTGCTTTCTTTTATGCCTTTGAGTCAAATTGATGTGTAATGTTAATTATTAGCTAACTCTTGTGAACCCAAACTGGTATAAGCGAAGAACTGTGACCAACTGGAAGGTACGCAGCCCCAAATTGTTCAAAGCAATTATAACTTGAAAAAATGGCAGGACTGACACAGTTTGACACTGGCTCATGTCGGCAACTGCTTGCAGTCTAAACTCTGATTAGAAAAGACATTAAATAATGGTCACAAGACACGTTATGGCTATTAATCAATAGTTAGGATAGACAAGCCTGTTGTGCTATAAATACTGGAAAGAGTTTGGGTTGCTTTGAGCAGACCCTGGTAAATATACCGAGCCTGTCTCCCCGAGTTCTGAATTCAGAATAAACCCTTCTTCACCCAGCTTTCTGCCTCTACTATCTCCTTGGTCACGAGTGAGCAGCTGGTTGTTGCTTCAGACCCGAACACTGTGGTCGCCCTATACTTCCTCATCTTGCCACACTCACAGATACCACACATTTTTTTTTTCTTTCTTTACAAAGGTGCCGAGGAACTCATGTAATTAATTCTGAAGGCGTAAATTCTTCACAAAGAATTCTTCACAAATAGGGGCTTCCATGACCATGTTTTTCAGTTCTTTGATCATATCCCATATTTGGGTATCATAATAAAACCCTTTGGAATGTGTGATATGAATGCCTTATTTCATGGAGATTAACACCCAGATTTTTACACAGTAGATATAAAAACATGAAAAATCAGCCCGGCTGGGTGGTTCAGCCTGTAATCAAAGTGCTTTGGGAGGCCGAGGCGAGTGGATTGCCTGAGCCCGACCCGCCTGGGCAACTTGGCAAGACCTCATCTCTACAATAAATCAAAAATTAGCTGGGCGTGGTAGTGCACGCCTGTAGTTCCAGCTACTTGGAAGGCTGAGGCGGAAGGATTGCTGGAGCCCAGCAGGTCGAGGCTGCGGCGGCCGGGAGCGGCCACTGCACTCCGGTCTGGGCAACACAGAGTAAGACTCCAACTCAAAAAAAAAAAAGAAAATGTCTTTTAATAATAAAAGTTTAATATTTTAAGTCCCCTTTGCATAAAACTTATAAGCTTCACAAGGACAGGGATTGTTTGTTCACTTCTATATACCTAGTTCCTGAAACAATGTTGGTGCAAGAAATTTAGATTATAACTAGAACTGTGTCACCTCACCCTCAATCTAGGCATTCTACCATGAGCCCTTCCTCCCTTCCTTTTTTTTCTTTGCAGAGTCTCACTCTGTCATCCAGGCTGGAGTGCAGTGGCATATTCATGGCCACCACAACCTTCACCTGCTGTGCTCAGGTGACCTTTCTGCCTCAGGCTTCCAAGTAGCTGGAACCACAGGCATACACCACCACACCTACCTATCTGCCTATGTATCTACCTTAGAGATGAGGTCTCGCCATGTTGCCCAGGCTGGTCTCAAAACCCTGGGCTCAGTCAACCATCTCATCTCTGCTTCCTAAAGTGCTGGAATTATAGGCACGAGTCACTGCACTCGGCTACTTTATTTTTCTTCATAGTACTTACGTGGCCCAGTCTAAATTTATATCTTATATGCACAGCAGGAAAGAAGTTACACAAAGTAAGTTTATTCACTGCTCTATCTCCAACACCAAAGCTAGGACTCAGTAATACAATCAGTAAAGGTTTATTATTGTCTTTCATCCCTCCTCTCCTCAGTAGAAAAAAACATCAGGGGGCAAGAACTTTATCTTTTCATAGCTATGTTCCTAGAACCTAGAAAAGGTACTTAATTATTTACCTGCTTAAGTTTGTCTCTAACTCCAAATATTCTAAGTAAACCACACTGACATACAATACAAAAAAGCAGGATGCTAACAGAATCCTTTCTTAAATTAAAAGGTTAATATTCTTTACTATGTAGCAAAAAAATAATTAAAGCTTTTGGAATACCTATATGTGACCTCAGTCTCCTCACCCTAAATGTGTCCTTCTGTCTTGAATTCCTACTTGCAATCACAACCAAGGTTCTCAGGAACACACAAGTACTAATGCCTACTCAAATTATTCCTCTAACAGAGAAAGTTTAGTCCTGACTCGTGAAAATTGTACTATCTCCAATAGCATCTTCCAAGTGAAGCCAAATTAGCAGGCACTGGCAACTATAGTGTGATCCCATTTTAAGAAAAAGGGATAAAATGTTAAGAAAAATATGGATGGAGCCGGGCTCGGTGGCTCAGCCTGTAATCCCGCGCCTTTGGGAGGCTGAGGTGAGTGGACTGCCAGGTTCGAGACCCGCCTGGGCAACTTGGCA